TTGCATATATACGCTAACACGCACACATACACACACGCAAACATTTGAGCAAAAGTAACAGGACCAGTATGAAAGATAATTAATCAAACCACTCTATATCGATCTATCTAGATTTTTAATTTTCTTTTAACTCAATTGATTCTATATAAGAAGTAAGATAGAACTGGATAGCGTTATTGGTCTAGTGTTAACGTGAAACTTTCATAAGAAAGACACCCATCTCTTATGACGTCTATCATATGCTGGGCAAAACTTAGCACCTTTTCACTCGAAACGCGGAAGGAAGTCTTGTGGACTTCGTAAAAATGAATATCGTATAAAAGCGAAACAGCTGCAGTATAACGAGATTTATCTGTCCTTATCTGGTGAGATCGACCAACGAATCTATTCTTTATTTACTTTCATACGAAATAAAAGTTCCCCTGCTACTCTGATGAGACTGATTGTGATAAAAGAATCCCTGACTTACTCTCATGTGTGAATTCCAGCAAATGCTCTATCTCTTTCAGGACCTAAAGATACTTATTATGTGAATGTGACACTATTCCTGCTAATTTTGATGGGTTGCTAGTAAATTCCTTGGTTTTAAACCGAAAGTAACTACAGGCTATTACTAACTACTATGCATCTCGCCAAAATAATGGCATGAATATGTAGATTATATCACGACTAAGCAGAATGGCCTACTTGACTCAAAACTAGGTGTCAATAAAGGATTAGGCACGGAGGTATCGATGCTGCAAAAATTGCTAGAACTATGGGGAAGAGAGGGGATAAATCATTTTATCACTCATCCTGCACAACTGGTCTGGAAATACCTCTGACTTTACTCACATACTATCAAAATTCCAGGAAAAACGAGAGTTATACTAACTAAGATACGGGCGAAGCAAATGTTGGTCCATTGCATCTAGAGCACATGACTACAATTAAAGAGGAAGCAGTGGGAGTAAAATCTTTTAAATCTTCCTTATGCATGGCCAAATCGCAAAAATGAGTTCAAGCTGAGTTTTTTTAAAAACAATGCGACCAGACATAGTGCATTACAAAAATTATATTTAGACCCCATTATGCCTTATTCATGCATAAATTAGCAATAAGAGTTTGATCCTCTAAATCTACTTTCCATAATTTCATTATTCTGAACTCAATAGCTCAAGGGTTAACATGGAGTCAAGAGCTGAAGTGAAATCGATACACCAATTTTTTGTCCCTGGCGAATTACTGTCATTTTACTGATCGTCCTCGATATCCCATTAAATCTATCTGCACCTTATTTTTTAGAAGAAGTAGCTATCTATGTTCCTTTTACTAAATAAAGCTCAGTTATGATACCACGACCAGTTTTCTTATAAAATGCATAAATCACCATCTCAATATAGCCTGACTACTTACTAAGATTTTAGTAGCGTTAGATGGATTGGAGTCACAAATTTAATCTTTACATTTAGCTGGTTTCAATAATTAGACTATAAGGACAACAAAGAAATAGATAAGGAAGACGCTTATTAACCTAGCTGCCTTATTGCATAAATCAGCTCCACATACAGCAGATAATGAATGGATCACACAAAACCTTTGTAAGAGACAAATCCAAGTATTTAAGAACGTTTTATTTATTTTATTTTCGATTTAACCACTAAAAGCAGCTACGTATAGAGGTTAAAATTTCATAAGAAATAATTACCGGAAAGACAAAACGAGAGGCTCGTACATACAAGAGGAGCTCATATCGTTTGCGAAAAAAGTAAGCAAAAATCTGTCCTCTGGATTGTCCCCTAGTTCGCCTCGGCAAGGAATATATTTGTTGCTGCTCTCCACTTTGCTTCAACTTCCAACGCTTTCCAAAAGAGTAAGACTCATTTTACGTGTCACTTGAACAATTGGAACTATTTGACAAGTCCGAAACCCTCCTTACTTTCTGGAAACTTATGTCTGCTTAAGATGCCAGTCAAAGAGATTTGGCAGCGACTCCACCAGATCCCCTCGGAAAGTGTGTAGATGCGTTCTTTTCAGACAGACGCATAAGTCGTATGGGTCGTCAAGGCCCTACGAGGAGCTTGCTACTGTTGCCAACGCATTCCCCTCTTATTTTAAAGCCATACTGAGCATACAGTCAAGTTCACTTGTTCGAGCGCAAACGACCACTACGAAGGACATTGACTCGATTTTCCAGTTTGAAGGAAAATTTGGTTGACGAATTGGTCGCCTTGGAAACCTAAGGAAGATGGCCTTTGGATAGCGCGAATAAGTCCTCACCCGTAGAGGTATGAGTCCAAGAATCGTATATGGATGATATAGGGCACACAATAGACTGGCCCAAAACACAACGTTTGACGGGTTATGCTGACTTCACCTTCAAGTCTGCAAGAATCAAGAAAACAGCCATCATCTTGAATCGGAGTAACGAATGTAAAAAAATTGATTACCACCTATTCATGGGTGTTGAAGAGATTCAAGTTTGGATAGGGTTATCATGCCTCACATCGCATACGAACAATGGACAAGTCCATATGCCTCAATATTCACCAATATTAGTAGATCATACTATGGAAGGCAATGCTAAATGGGATTTATATGATTGTGGAAAAATGCTGTTATCGGTCTTACGTCAGCCTATGCCACCAAGAATGACTGAAACTCGTATTCGCGCCATGGTATGCCTCATAAAGATGACAAAATTTTGCAAACGAAATAAGTGGTTTCGCAGTCGGCTATCTGTCCTCTTGGTTTAATACATTGGTTCTGACGATGTTTATCGCCTTGAAATTGACGAAACTTTAGCAAAGGTCCATTGGTGTCACACGGTCTCTTTTCTCCGGGGCAGTTGTTCCTCAGTTTTCAGAGAGGCCAATACACGAATTTCCTCTAGCCCACTTTTCCTTAAAAACGGAGAATCAAATCAAACTAGCTCATAAATGGAGTCTCCTAAACCCACCCTTTCTTCATAGTTATCCCATCTGACTGCTTGGCCGGAGTGCCACGTAAACTTGCTAATCACCTAGAGCCGCTTACCTTCATTCTCTGCGGTGACTTTTGTCCAATTTTGCTGTAGAAGGCCTAGAAACATTCAGGCTAGATAATGCAATTGTGTGTGTGTGTGTGTGTGTGTGTGTATATACGCAAACCTGAAAGTGGTGGTGCTATTGACCGACGTTGGGTTGGATAAACACTGACTGACCACGTTTTACATGTCTAATACCGTGTCCATTGTCATGGCTGGTTGTATTGAGCGTGTGCTAAGCGAAAGGAGGGAAGGGTGTGTGGATTGAGACAACCTAGACTTTTGGTGGGCAAAAACATTGCATAAGAGAAAATATTTTCTGCCACCGGTTGAGATGTTCATGACAGGAAAGATAAACCTAGCAAGTTGGCCAGCGCCTTGAAAGCTGTTACTTATGACTTCTGCAAATTCACAATTTTCAAATGGCACCAGTTACGATCGGGAGGAGCTATGGTTTCCAGTATATTTGACGACACTTCTGTGTATATGACGGATATATTATGAGGGCAGCGATACAGCATGCATAAAAAGATTGGTACCGATAGGTCACTTAAGGTCCGATGATGAAGTTTCCAAGAGTAAAATGAACAGAAGGCCTGATGATGTCAGTGAATTCCCCTTAATCTCGGGTCGCCAGCCCGCCACATGGCCACAGCTGACAGAGGATTATGGGCAGATGCAATTTTCAAGGCGGTAGTGGTACAAAGGATATTTCGAAAGTCTCGGTTATTTAAGATGGCTTGGATTGGAGTAGATCTTCTACGATTCTTTGGAGGATAAGTGCAACTTATTTCTCTTTTTGAAGGTATGAAGACCAAGATGGTGTGGTCTTTTGTGGTTGCAATCTCTTTTCACTATATAGAGGTTGTTTGACTTTGGTAATATTGGTAAAAAGACTTAGAAAAACACACCAGGTGCGGAGTCCATTGTATGCATGATCATTTCCAAGTCGGACCGTGGACGTGGTACATTCCCAGACGTTTCGCCGGCATCGTCAGTGGGTCTCGCCATTCTTAACACCACACAACAACTCGTCAAAGAGACAAGTGAATCCGATCCTTTGACCAAACGTGTGTGCCGTAGTTTCGAACTCGCCTACAAATTACTTAAATAGCAAATAAGTAGTACCGATATAAAAATAACAGGGTTTCGAGGAGCATTTGAAAATAGTAGTTTTGGGGAGGCTTTTATTTCATATGATAAAGTGCATAATGACGATGTTCATAGGTCGATCTTACCAGAAATAGACAGTTGATTCTTGCTGTATTGCAGCCGTTTGGCTTTAATACTGCGTTCATGTTGAGGTAGTCCATGAGACATCCTCCTTTGTTTCGGGTTAAAACAAGTTTAACAACAATGCTAAACCAAAAGATGCCTCTAAACCTACTGTATATATAATATTATTGAGCAAGCTTCGAAAGTATCATTCAAGTTTGCTCAGCCTTGTCTCCAATAAGATGTTCTCATCCAGACGGAATTGGACGGCAATTTCGACCTCGCCTGGGTCCCATCCGGACCCTCGGCGGGACTTAAACCCTGTTTGTGTCGCGTATGATTCGACACCTTGTCACCATGCTACACTGCCAGATGCGTAGGCGTGATTTTCCCCTTCTAGTGGTGTTATCGGTGACGAGAACTTGAATTTGCTATTACAATCAAGTACACTACTTATATGCGTTAAAAGTAGATTTAAAAACTTACAGTGCTCTTTTGCTGTGTTGCCTAATCGATGTCTCAACCATAAAATGTGATTATGATGGGGCCTGACTGCGACCCAATGCTTGAATTGTACTGAAGTTTGGAGCTCACCTAGGCAACATCACCGCCATCAGCACGATAATGACTAGAGTTTTATACAAGAAATGACGGATAATCTCTAAAACTATTTTCACCCGTCAAGTTTATGCGTCGCCTTTCGGGCAGCCTGCAGCCCAGTTGACCGGTGAAACCGCCATTTTTATGTGTGTAACTCCCAGTTTACGCGAATTCATCTTCAATGGTCCGTGGTTGTTGCTGGGTAAGAGGGACTGAGTTGTGGCCCTGTTTAATTGACGATCACAGGATCATAGGCGGTCGGACATTGCCACAGCCGGACAAGCTAACAAACCAAGGCATACAACAATCTTTTCCCGAGAAAAGGCAGAAGACCCTTTCTCGTTCAGGCGAAGCATTGATCAGAATTGGCATGTTTGCGAAAATGTGTGTCCGCCTCTGTATGAGCCCACTCGGCCCAGAGAACAATGTGGAAGGCGGCCGGATCTCGTGTACTTGGTAGGGTTTAGCGTCTCTAATCTACAACGCATGTCGCTAGGACGGACAGTCCCCTCATTTCGGTGCGTTGGCCCGGCTCCCTTGTCCTTTCACCCACCCCTTTGTCTGGTGCTTTGAGACGACACGTACATGGTTTCGTGGCAATCTGTCTGTGGCGTTGCCGTTGGGCAGGACAACTCTTCCCAACAGGATCAAGTGGACAGATCGTGAAGAGAATGAAGCAAGCCAGTAACGCAAAGGAGACTAGAATGCATAAAAATTTGTGGACAGAAGAAGACCACGACCTGAGGACACAGCTCAAGTCTGACTTGTCTGTCTACCATGGCGGTTTTCCGTTTTGTCTTAGAGACTTATTCCACAGTGAAGTGTACTTGTGGATGTTTGCGTGATCATCCCCACAAGGCGGGGTCTGTTGCGTGGGCTAACATGAGCCTATCAAAAAGCCACAGATCACGTATTCCATGACAGAAAAGCTATCAAATCTGCCCTATTTTGGTCTTTGAGTGTGTCTGGCCAATCTTACTGAAGAGGTACATCAAAACTCATAATTTGCCTCTTTGGCATCCACGCGTTAGGGTCTTGCCCCCATCTTCCCCCCCCTCCCCAGTCGCAGTCGTCGGCTCCTTCTCAGGAGGCCGTGGCAACAGACTTCTGCAAAAAGACACCTTTCTTGTAACATGTGACGAGCAAATTTGAGCTTTCTGGAGTCTGTTGGTTTATAATTGTTGAGCTCATTTCCATTTCGATTTTGATGTAAATTTGCTAATATTTCGTTTTTCATACAGCAAATATCATCATCATTCTTACAACAAGCTTATAGAGAACGAGTCAAGACAAGAGTTCATCAAGTATAAACAGAAATGGCCCTCAAAACCGAATTTACTTTGCGTATTCAGCGTGTATATGGTACAGATTCTTATCAACTATACGAAAACAAGAAGAGGTTTGTAGAGTTCTTGACTTGTCAGCTTAAATGCTACCCAGCTTATGACATTTCCATCGAAATAAAAAGAAGATCGCCTTCTAAACAGCGTCAACAAGAATGTCTGAGTAAAGCCAATCGAAGGCTGGGAAGAGAACAAACCGCCCTTGTCTCGTAACCCTTTACAGTTTTCATCGGAATGTAGGCGAACCCAACAATTATGCAAAGTGGACACAATGAACCACATCGCCATTCATTCGTTTTCCGTCAATTGAACCTACAAGGAGGGGTACAGAATAGGCTTTAGCCTGGTTCAGAGCAAGAAATAGCTCTAAGAGGGCCATAAGATGTGGAGGAAGTGGGGCTGAATACCGAAATGTATCGCTCATTCTGGAAGGGTGATCCGGCAAAGAGAAGTACTTGCACAAGAACTTAGCCCAAGTCGGAGGACCAGACGAACAGACTGGACTGAATGGCAGTTTTGACCCCGCCACGTCCAACGGGATTCGAGCCAGAATTGTGGCCACATTACCTTTACCATTGCATAACTGATCTTCGATGTGAGTAGACTTTGAGGCTGACAGTAAGTAAAAATGTACCGACAGCGAGAAAAAGCATGTCTCTGCACACGGCCATAGTCATCGCTCAGCGCAATTTGATAGGCCTTTACTTCATGCCTCAAGCGAGCGAGATTGAATTTGTGGTACACGACTAAGTACCTTCCGTTCGGGCGGTAACAGACCTTACAATACCAAGTGACTTTCCAACTTGCCTTGACCAGTAAAGGGAGAAAATTTAGTGTATAATTCATATTCAAAACAAATAAGGCTTAACTGTTTAATATCTTTCGCATAGAATGAGTGAACTTATTTTCACAATTACACAACAGGCGAGTGGAAAGGGCCGACTGAAGGGAGCATAAATAAATGGACATACCAACAGGATGCTTGATAAGTTGGGTTCCGATCACCATGACGATAAGTGAGGATGCTGGGGCTTAAAAGATACGCTTGATGCCGTGCATATGGGTCTTCAGACGTTCAATGTGGATTGAACGCTGTGAAAGAGCAGACGTTAACCACTCCCGACAGTTGTAAAGGTGCACAAAACTTGGTTAAACATGGCGATTCACGAACATGAACATGCATGAATTGATGTAGGGAGGTAAGAGGGACGGACATTTTTATGGCAACATTACAAAACTTCGGCCTTCACCCACGTCTGAATTGAGCTTAAAATGAGGAAGCAGTGATTCGAGCAAACATGTTTAAAAGTGGAGGGGGATCGGGCTCAGGACGACGGTTAGACGGCGTCATAGATCTCTTTTATGCTCTTTGCAAGGATGAGGCCGAACACGATGCCAATCAGTTGGAAGCAAATCCCAGCAGCCGCGATGCCGATGATTGTGCCGAAGTTGTTGCGAAGCCAATCGAGCACTGGCATGTAACAGCCCTGAAGGGGTGAAATAGGCAGGAGAGGGTTGGATTTTAGGCATTAAGTTAGTTGCGACGGAAGTAAATCTGACATCCTCTCGAGAAAAAGCTGGGCAAATGGGGATAACCAGATAGAAATATATTATGAAAAGCCATGAGTCTTGAGGAGGTCTTAAGTAGGGAATTATATATTTGGAAATGAAGTTGTTCCAAAATGCATACTATATCGTTTATAGCCATGAATATGCATAAAGGAAGAGTGAAAATATACCATCTGAGGATAGGCCGCCTTGGCAACTAGGATGACTCTTTCGAGAACTAAGAGGGATTAATTTAGTTAGTAGACTAGAAAATTAATCGCAATGTAATCAAACCAGAATTAATGTACAAAAATAATACGCTGACTTGGTAAAAGTTTCCGAATGAGTAAACATTAAGTTAATATAATATGAGGGCAGCAATAGAGCAATTATAGGTAAAGGCAATAACGTTGTGCTGATATTGTACTGCTCTTTTGAGACTGACTAAGGCGTAACAAAGTATATAAAGTAAAGTATATAAGTTCGGTGGCTCTAGCTTTTTTAAATAAACATACAATCATATTTATGACTTTTTATGTATCATACAAGCATCAAATATTGCACAGAGTTTCAGTTACCTAGTTTTTAAAAGTCGACCTTTTCCCTGGATGATATGTGAATTAAGACAAACTATCTCATCTATCCCACATGCTTGTGTTCATTCACTTCAGATGGCTTTTCACTTTAGTTTTCTTGGCTAACGGCAATCCAAGAATTGGATCGGTTTATTTGAAAAATAATAGTGAATTAATGTTATCTGACAAGAATATATTGTGATCCGGATTGCAGTCAGTGTCTACGGCAAAGTGTCATCCAAGTCATGGTGAGATTACGAGCTTTTTATATAATAACAAAACTAGCCTGGTCTAGATGACAATGTTATTAGATACTCGAAATAAAATAGGTGACAAAATTGTCTCTGTCCAAATATTCCACGTTCTACTAGAATAGTGAATCAAATAGTGAGATAGCTTCATTCCAGAAGCGTATGCTACTATAGGCACGTAAGAAAATTATAAAATAGGCCATCCCCACAACAAAGGGCAACAAAACTTGAAAAGTTCATGTAAGGAAACAAGCTACCTACCTAAGGAATTACTGAATTAGACTAAGTTATTCCAAGTCTTGTATATTCCATGGCATTCTTATGCGTTTTGAAGTGCTGGGGCTCCATATGTCATGCACTTGTATGTGGATGCATGTCTGTGCATGCGTATTATAAGGTTACATTTGTACACACAAGGGATAACTCATTCATGTTGATAGCCAGTAAGTAAGCTTAAGTTTAATTTGTAATATGTTGTTAGGCGGTTAGATTCCCGCTGCCGATTGCATTAAGGCCTAGGCGAGGTCGGAAGCACAATCAGTTTGGATACTTAGCGTGGGAGAATTCAATGAGAATAGCAAGACTTGCCTTA